TGTTAGCCATCTGAATGTCGTCTTCGGTGAAGTGCCTGTTCATATCCTGTGCCCATTTTTCTATTGGATTATTTACCTTTATCTTGTTGTGGTGCCTCCCTGAGGTATTTTGACCCCCAATCTTGCTTCTGGTCTCCTCTCTGAGGATGCTCTCTTCTTCATTCTGCATCCCAGACACGCCATGCTGTGGCTTCTCGGTGCCCCTGCCACGGAATATGCTCCCACCTGAGCCCACTTTTGGTCAACAGTAAGAGAATGTTCCTTTCTACCCTAAATATCTCAATGGCTTTTGTCCTCACTCACAATTGAGGACCTTCTATTTGGAAACAGCATTCTTAGGGAGCTCTGGTGGCCTAGTGCTGTGCTGCAATCCTGAAAGCTCATGGTTTGAATCCACCAGATGCTCTGCTGGAGAAGAAGGGGCAGGCTCCTCCTGTACCAGTTGGATCTGATTTGAAAGTACACAACAAGAGGGGGGAAAAAAGAAATAGCATTCTTCCTCTTTGATGTAAAATTTTTTTAAAAAAGAGGAAAACATAATTTTTATAAATTCAATGTTGCTAACATATTATTGTTACATACTGCAGAGCAGGAACTGATTCATAGCTGACCCTCCAGCACATTTTCAGAGGCAATGAACTGTAGGAGAGAAGACTGCCTGTCTTTCTCCCAAGGAGCAGAAGATGGATTCAAACCGCATGCCTTTGGGTTGGCAAAGGCATATTATTCAGGTCTTAAGAACTGAGCAATCCTGGACATGAACACAAAGGGAACAAAGTTCCTGCATACGGAACTACATCAGGGACCAGATTGAGGCTGAAGCCTAGGGAACTGCTCCCAAGTCCATGGTCTATGTTGCATCTTGGCAGCTATGTAAGCTCACTAGACAGGTCTCTGCCTAAGCTGGATTTTAACTTTCATTCTCCTTTTGACCCGGGCATTGATGCCTGAATCCAGTAAAATTACATGGAGGCCCTGAAGAAGCAAAGTAGATTTATACATCAAACTCTTTATCAAACGCCATGTGCCCCGGTGCTGTCAGCCAGTAGCGTCCTTTTCTACACCATCATGACTAAGGGAAACAATGATGCATTACAAATATGCCACCACCAGCAGCTGACGTGGAACCAACTCCAACTCAGGGTGATCCCCTATGTGTCAGAAATAGAACTGTGCTCTAGATGGTTTTCAAAGGCTAAATTTTTAGAAGTAGAGCTTGAGGCCTTTTTTTTCCCAAGGTACCTCTGGACGGTAACTTGGAAAAGAGAGTTGGACAATGACTAGGGAGGACAGAAGGAGAACTGATGCCTTTGAGCTGTGATGCTGGAGAAGAGTATTGAATATACCATGGACTGCTAGGAGAACAAACAGGTTCATCCTGGAGAGGGTGACGCCAGGCTGCTCCTTGGAGTCAAGGATTCTGAAGCTTCATCTGACATACTTTGGACATGTTGCAAGGAGGGACCAATTCTTGCAGAGGGGCATCATGCTTGGGAGGGTGGAGGGACAGCACAAGAGAGGAAGACCCTTGATGAGATGGATTGATTCAGTGATTTGGGTAATAGGGGTAGGTGTGTCAGAGACAGTGAGATTGGCACAGGATAGAGTAGGGTTCAGAGCTGTTGTACATAGGGTTGCTATGAGTCGCAGGAGACTCAACAGCACATAACAACCACCACCTCTGTGTGGACTCGAACTTCCAACCCTCTGGTTGGCAGCTGAGCTAATCTTTAAAAGGAGAAGGGCAATACATTCAACTAAAGACCATGTAAAACTCAAGATTTAAAATCTGAGGGACAAAATGCCCCTGGGGCACCCACCCTCTTCAGGCATGATTATGTCCAGGCCTTTCTTCCCTCTCTGCATTGCTTATCATTGATCATTGATCTATCAAGACTGAAACTCTTTCCTCAAGCCTGAAAAAGTGAGTTGGTTCAGGCCAGATCCAGGCACATCTTACTAGGTACTTGTATCCAAATCAAACATTTCTTGGGCTTGTCCTAGAGGAGTTTTTTGACCTTCAAAGAGCTATGCTGTTATGAGGGAGATAACAGCATAAACCAGTATTATAGTTAAAGGACAACTGCTTAGTGCAAAAGGAATCCCCTTAGGTGGTGGGAGTGGAGGAAAGAGGTAAACACATAGTGATGGCCCACTGACTAGGTAAGTACTGTTTAACTCGTCCCTCTTCAGAATTTGACTCTACTTAGGTCAGTCCTTTCTCTTCAGGAATTCACAATCTGAAAATGAGAGCCCAAAGCCTGGAGCCAGGGCTGCACCACAGGAGGTGTATAAACTTCAGAAAATAGTAATTGCTAAATAATTCTTGCAGCTCTTGCTGCCCGATGATCCTCCTGATGAATCCTGTTTGCTTAAGCTGGCCAGTTTGTTTCTTTGATTCTTCTTGTTGTTTTTAAATAATTATTTTTACTGTTGTCAAGAAATATAAAACAACATATGCCAAGTCAACATTTTTCAGGTAAGCAATTTAGTAATAGCAATTATGGTAATCATGCTGTACGACCATCACTTTGTTGCCAAAATTTCTCATCACCACCGAAGTTGGCTTCTTTTCCTACATCAAAAAGAACACTTAACTAATGCAATGATGGAAAGTATTTGTTTTCAGGAATAAAATGAAATACTGGGTGGGAGGCCTTGAATTCTTGACAAGCTTCCCAGATTGACCTTTAGCCGGACCACTGAGAACTCACATCTGTTCTGTGACACAGAAGAGGCACTAGACAGTGCATCTAAATTCCAAAATCTATCTCCACAATAGTCTACATGTTTCCTATTGCCAAAGGGGCCCTTTAGAGTAGTGAGAGAAGATCTTCACCCTGAAACCTACAGCATCCCTTTTCAGCTAAGAGAATACGCAGTCCCCTTCTCCTTAT